GCATTTAAATACAATGAGACAAACAGCATTACAAGCTGCGATTATTTTTGGAGATGAGTATCATACTGTCAACTTTAGAAGGCCAGAAGACAGGCAAGAGGTTCTTACACAAGATCCCTACTGACCTACCAACCAGATGGGAGAGTAGAGCAGGAGACATCTATTCTTGGAAGTCTAAGAAGGATGAGAACTAAGCCCTTTGATTATTTTAAATTGTCAACTATTCATGAGGGCAAAAATGACACCCTTCTGTCTTCTTAGATCATTTACAAGAGGAATTGGTAAAGCATACATGCCTGGCTCCTAATTTTATGAGGTCAGACTATTCTCAAAGACAAATTTATTACTCAGTCTCAGATATTAGGAAAAAGCCACAAAAGATGACTTTTGCTCTGGATAGCTCGTTTTATACTTTAGTGAGAACTGCCTCCTCAGTATTTTATAACAAAGACCAGGAGAAAGCCAAGGGGAGAAAACAAAGATGCCAAAAGCAAATGGCTGCCTTGGTTGTGGCCATAAAAGTAGTAGTAGACCCTAAGCCTGACTTTAAGAAGAGCTTGACAAATAAAGTTATCTGCTACTTCTGTGGAAAGCCAGGCCACCTTAGGAGAGATGGTGATAAGAACCATCATGAAAAATCATACCTTGATTGCAAAAGTGACTTCTGGAAGTTGGACCATGGTCTGAGATGGAGCCCCAGAGATCAGACTCATCTTACCAGCTGGTCCACCTGGACTGATGGACCCCAGTGCTCTCTCTGGCTTCTCTCTCTGGGTGGACTATCATGTCCACAGAAGAGCCCAGGTGATTATGACTATAGAGGAAAAAGAAACCACCCTATTGGTAGACACTGGCATATGTCTCTTCTTTCTTTTCAACCTTGGCTTTCCTTCCAGTCCGCATACCTCTGTGAGAGGAGTTGTGGGACCCAGGCCCAGTGTAAGTGGGACTGCTTGGGGCCCACCAGATCCTAATTCAACCCACAGCCTAGGTCCGGTGTGAGTGAGACTGCCTAGGGCCTGCTGGATCCTCATTTGAGCCAGTGCCCAGGCCAGGAGTGTGAATGCAACTTCCTCCATCAGACAGGCCCGGTGTGGAACCCTGCAGCAGAACTCCCTGCAGAGAGGCTAGAGGTAAGACCCACCCAGCTGATCCAGGAGCAGAACATTTTGCCATAGTGGTACAGAGGGTTCACTTTCAAGGGCTGCAACAGTACGAAGTGGAGCACATTAGCCAGCCCCAAGCCACACCCACCTGGACAAGTTTGAGCTTGGTAGATCCAGACCTGGTGCTAAGGTAGTAACTCAGAGCTCTATACCAAAGGTCAGAAGACAGGGCTATACAAAATGACAAAGAGAAGGAGCAAAATGCATTCTCAGGCCCCAGGCCCACCCAGAACAAATGCAGGAGACAATAGCATAGAAGAAATTGGAAATCATACACCTGAAATCCCTGAAATAATAGCATCTGAAGTAAAGAAACAACTGTGGAAAGGTATAGAGGAAATCAGATCAGAAATAATTTCTGAAGTAAAGAAATAACTATAATGAAAGAAGTACTAAGTGCTTTTAAAGAAGACACTGGTTTAAAAAATAGAGGAGAATAGAAAAATGATGGAATCCTTGAATGAGCAATATAGGAGAGAAATAGAATGCATGAAGCAGATTCAAAGTGCTATACAAGAAACTAAAACCTCAATCACAAGCTGGCAAAAGCGTTTGAATGAAAATGAATGCTCTTTGTTAATTCCTATATGCTACATCTGGAGGTGTTAGATTATTTCAAGATGTATAACTGGAAAATATTTTACTTTTAGTTTTCAAAGATATGTTTGCTAAGTATAAACCATTTGAATGAAAGTGAAAATAGACTTACAAACCTTGAAGATACCATTGCAGCTAGTGAAAAGATCTCTTAAAAACAACTAGGATGCAGGAAAAAATAATTCAACATCTGCAAGATGATGCAAAGATGAACAACATAAGGCTAATAGGCATCAATGAGAAAACAGTTAATACAAATGATATAAAAAGAATATAGGCAGAAGTGATAGCTGAAAACTCCCCAAATATGGGGAAACAATTTGACATTCAGGTAACCAAAGCATATAGAATGCCAAATAATATCAATCCAATTAAAAACACACCCAGATATATAATAATCAAGATTCCAGAAATTCAGCACAGGAACAGTATACTAAAGGCCACTAGGGAAAAGAAACATCACATTTAAAGGAAAACCCATCAGAATAATGGAAGATTTCTCTTCACAAACCATGAAGTCAAGGAGAGCATGGAGCAAAGTACTTCAAGTCTGGCAAGAAAACAAATTCCAACCCAGACTGATATACCCTGCAAAACTCTCTTTCAAGATTAATGGAGAAAAATATGTCCATGACAAAGAACAGCTAAAGAATTTCATGATGACAAAGCCAAGCCTACACAGACTACTAAAGGAGATTCTAGAGAGGAATCAAAATGACCACAACTCCATGAATGAGAATGGAAATAACCCACCAAATAGGGCAAACAATTAAACACATGAGAAAAATAGATATACAACAGTAGTCTTTCAATTATTCTTTTGTATACAGCAGCAAATTATTTCCATCAGCATATTCTACAAATGGACTTCTCCTGCACCCTATGGGTCAGGAGGGTGGATATCAAGGAAATAGCAGTAGCTCAGTCCCACAAGTGACACCTGGCCACCAGTAAGTGTCATGGACACTGCCCATGTCTACCACATACTAGAACTTTGTGTGATATCCTATCCCCAAACTGTTAGAAGTGGTGGTCATATATTTGCCATTCTAGTATGTGTTATGTTTTATTCTTAGTAATTCTTTACTATCATGAAACTTTTTCTTAGTTCAACTGTTCTGAAATATTTAATTTTTAATTAATATTTAATAATTTCCTGAATATTATTTAATCTTAATTTTTGTTTTAAGATTTATACTGTATTTTTTACTTACAATCTACTTATTAAAATGATATGATATTTTCTTCTAGTATTAGAAACTTTAAAAAGTTTATGTCCATTTTCCATTGACTTTATATTATTTTCTTATCCTGTACACATAAACACGAAAAAAAATGTATATAACCTGACATAAGATTGAAACTGTTTTGTAGAAATCATCAATGACCTTTTAAATGGGTTCATCTAATATATTTTACATAGTTCTCCATACCTA